CCGGTGTTTTCCATCTCAGTTCCGCTCTGGTTTCAGCGGTTGGAACGATCGACCTGGGTATAAGGAAGATCATACATATGAAAAAAATGAACCATTCAGATTGAAGTCCATACTTTAATGTCAATACTAAGACTTAAACCACTTGCTTGTAAAGGCTAATCTGACCTTAATTATTGATTCCTTGTACGGAAAAGACAACAACTAGCGAAGAGTTCTAGAAGGTTGAAGTACTATTAAATATTTGAAATTGGCTTTACCAGAAACAGATAACTATATTTTACTATAATGATACACACCAATGCAAAGATAATGGGTATAGTATGAACTAATGAACTTTTCTCTGGTTCACATCAACTTAGATTTACTTCATATGAACACGGCGCAGTAGCGGCACATTCTTAACGACGGTAGTCTACTCTAATCCCTGTTCGATGCAAAAAATTCTAGATCAAGTTTCATGATTTATATTCAAAATATATAGCTCATGAATAACTTACGATGATTTCTTCGTTGTATAAATGAAAATTGTGATGATCTTATATGTGTTAATAAAGCAATCAGTTTGGACATAACCTTAATAGTAAGTGGAGCAATAAATTTCAGAATAGTATTAATTCCACCAATAAGACTAACAATAGTTGTGATAATATAAACAATGTTAATTTCTTTTTCATAAGTAAATGAAAAAAATGATGGTTTACATTTATGATAAAATTCGTCAAATGAATAAGAAAAATTCCATTCTTCAATCATCATTTCATTAAAAATTGTTTCAACTGATGTCGATGGAGAATATCGACTAAATAACGTTGAATTAAGTGGAGTTACAGAGAAAGGTATTGTAACACCAATTGTATAGAAAATCTCTCGTAGTTGATTTAAACAAGTCTCTTTAAACCAACATGTCATTGATGATTTTAATACAGAATCAACAATAGAACAACCACCATGTATTCCTTCAAGTTGCCAATGAATCTGGAATATTTGTTTATCGTCACTTATTCCGTAATCAAAACTACATGTTGAATCAAGAATACAATTACATTCGACGTTATTTTCATTTAAACCAAACCGAGGACCCACTTCAATATCTAGAGATATTAGTTTGTCATAATTATTTAAACCCAATATTAAATGAAGATAAGTATTCATTTGCATATTACTTAAATATTGATTACTATGAAGTAATATATTAGTTAAAGACATTCTATAAAGAAAGTCAGTTCGTGTTAATGTATAAAATGTATTATTTAATGAATTAACTTGTAAAATAAATGAATTATTTGACAAGAGTTGAGAATTAATAAAATTTCTTGCTAAAAATTTTTGAATTGCATCATTTATTGTTATATTTATAATATTACAAAATGTTGATAATGTTTGAAAATATGATGAGGCTATTGATAAAAAATTAAGTGTTACATCCGAACTATTTCTTGGAGGAAAACTTTGATACCACCATGATTGAATAAAATCACTTGAACATATTTGATGATATTTGACTTGAATTTTAAGAAAATCTTCATATGGTATAGATATTTGAGTACATGGGCATATTAACGTTGATGAATATTGCTTTTCTAACATTTCATATTCTTTTATAGATGGACTCGAAATATGTTTATTGATTGTTTGATTTACAAAATTTGCTGATAAAATAATAATACATAATGAAATAAACATTGAAATAATATATAATCGCGTTGCTAAAACACTATGATAAATACGGATAGGATTACGAGAATGTTTAATATATAAATTAAAATTCATTATTTTAGTTTCTATTTTGCGAAAAAAATGTATGAAACGATTTTGATTTGTTTCATCTAGAAAAAAAAGATTTTTAGTTTTATTTGATATTTAATATTTATTTGAAATTATACCTTGAGATTGATTCATTTCTTGTGTTTGTTTTAAACAAAATCGTTCTTTTAAAAAGAAAAACAATTGAATAATCAATGGAGAAATTATACGTAATATTGCTGTTATACCTCCAAAAAGACTAATAAATATAGTTAAAATGTAAATCCAATTAAAACGATTTAAATAAGTGTAATGACAACTATTTGGTAAACATTCTGAATAATATTGAGTATAATTTGTTTGATTAAATATATTTTCAATGAAAAGTTCATTAATAAGGTATTCAATTTTTGTTTGCGGATTAAAACGAGTTATTAATGATTGATTAAGAATTGAAATATTAATTTTAGTTGAATAAGATAAAAGAAGAATATTTAAACATAATTCATTATAAAAACATTCTAATGTTGATGACAATGTCATTTGAACTGGTAAACAATCAATTATTATACCAGATACACTTTCATTTATTTCAATTTTATTCATATCATAAATTCCAAATTTTTCCGAAATATTATATAGATAAAGATTACCAGGTAAAGGACATGAACCGTTATTTTTACAAGAACAGGGTATTGTGGAATTTTTTGATATATATTTGTTTCCAATGATCCCAATATGACTAGATATGTTTATTTCAGATGAAACAAAAATAGGTTTAGATGATTGTGATAAACCAAATTTATCTGTTACAACAATATAATTTGTTAATAATCCTGTTATTAATTCATTCGCTTGAGTTATTCTTTGAATGATTGTTCTCGATTGTATAAAATTCGATGATATTGTTCGAAGTAATAAATTCAAAGTAGCTACAACTTTTGCTTCTAAGAATTCTTCACTTAGTAACATTGAAGTAATTAAATAAGAATTATTAAATTGATTAAGTGCATTTAGAACTGTAGTTTTTGTATTTTGACAAAAGATTCTAATTAATTGCCACATGGAACTTAGACTTGTTCGAACATCTATTGGCCAAATTACTGTTGAATCTGCTTTAAATATAAAATCAATCCATTCTTGAGAAATAAAATCACTTGAACACACTTGATGAAATGATGGAATTGTTTTAACAAATTTTTCATAAGGAATTGAACATTTCGTACATGTACATTGTAAACTATTGCTATACTGTTTTAGAAGATTTTTATAAACAGATTGTTTTGGAAATAATACAGTTTTAGTCTCAGTTTGTTGACTAAGTGAAGCGTATGTTGTTAAAATGATAAGGGAAATAAGAACAAGAATAATATATAGACGAGTTGATAAGATTTCACGACGAATAATCAATGGATCTGTTGATCGAGAATCGAAAGTATTCCATGTAATCCATTTTTTGCCAACAATTTTATATAAAGATTGCAATAACACTCTTACTTGCATGAAAAGATTTCTCTAAAATAGAAATATTTTCAAGATTTATTCAAATTTATAAAGAGAAAAGAAACGAACTATTTTCCAACATTTTCATAACGATTTATTAACTTGAGGGTGAGGATGCAGGATTTCTTGTCTCTTTTTACCCTCAAATCAAGATGAAATATCTCTTAGGTCTTGCCTAACAAACATCAAAGTCAAATCAGTCAATTAAATACAACGAACGCGCTTCCTTTTTAAAAACTCCGTATGATATAAAACATTATCAGATGTCATTTAGTTTCTGCTGTATATACAGATTTCGTGATATAATTTTTGTAAGTTTTTCTAAGTAGGATGTGGAAGCAAAATGTTCTAGTGAAAATATAATGTAACTATTACTAAAAAAACATTGTAAATCAGGATCCTTTAAGGAAATACGAACTTTCTGATAAAAAAAGTTCAATATTAGAATAAAGGTTTTAAGGACAACAATTCATCTGGTAATATTTGAAGTAAAACAAAAGCAGATTGACGTATGTTATGTTAGAATAGAATTTGAGTTTTTTCTGAATGGATTCATCTGATGATTAGACTAGCTTCGGACCAAGATGCAACTTGACGAACTCTATCGAATGAATACTTCAGAAACTGTATTTGAATCTATCATAGTGATAAGAATCACTAAATAGTAACTCATTGTTAATGAATTTACTATACCCAAAACATATTGACTTAGAGGTTAGATCAGGTTAAATTAATGTTATATAGATCAAAATAGAACTCGATGAGATCAATCGATTGAGTGTCAAGGATGCTATGCTCAAGTAGATTATAACCAACAAAGGTTTTTCTGAATAAATTTAAGACACGATAATAGAAGGAAAAACAAAATATGTGTGCTATTTTTTTTTGAAACACGTTTCTATTTATCAAACAAATAAGAAAATATACACTTTGTTTTCATGAACAGCTGTCAAAATATAAAATGAAAGAATGATTAAGAAAAATACACTGACCAATGAGACAAATAAATTACCAGAAATCATTCATGATACAAATGATAAATAATCTAAACGTAAGAATTTTTTCTTCGTCAACACAACAAATCATTGAAAATTTTATTCAATTATGAATACTTTTGGTCCTTATACCAAAATTCAATATATATATATTCTATTGCTAAATATTATTGTGGACGAGATGCATTTCGATCAACATTTAAAAGTATTACTGTAGTTTCAAAAGTAAGATTATTGTGCAACGTAGAAATTCATTCAAAACTCACACATGCTTATACATCATTCTAATATTATATACAATAATAAAATTGGCTTTCATATCATAGGAAAAATTTCAAGAATATCTTTCAATTGAATTCTACTAACTAATCAATCCTGTAAAAATTATGTTCCAAGAATCGTTTCTTGTGCGAAACTCGATTTTCATCGTTTACTGTTAAGCTCATGAAGTAAGTTACATTATTTGAAGTAATCTTCTGTTTAAAGTATTGATGTTTAAAGACTTCGTTTTTATATAATTTGATATAATGAAGAAATTTGTTGCGTGTAAACAACAGAAAAGGAGGAAAGTACAATCATGCAAGGAAGACAAGACGTATTTCCCCCCAAAAGAGTCTACGAATTCTTTCTATGTCAGTATCAAAATAATATCACAACAGGCCACTTATCGTTCAATAAATTTTATTCTGGAATAACTACGTATACACTTTATAAATCATATAATCGTAAAAGTGACGTAAGAATGTATCAACACACCTATATTTATTTTGTACCTAAATAGTCGCTTGATATAGAACAATATACATGGATCAGCATAGTGAGAATATTTGAGAAAAAAGGTACTATTTCGTTTATAATTACGCCGAAATATGATTTTATCATTACATTCGATATTTTCTGTCCAATTGAAACAATAAAGACAAACCTTACTTTATACAGTGTTTTACGAGTATATATTTATTTTTCGCTACATACATGTTAAGATCCTTTATTCCACAAAATACTATCACCATACGTGAATATTCTGGTAAGTTTAATATTTTCTCGATAAATTAGTATTATAGTGCTCTTTTTTATTCTTTCAGGACTTGGTCAAAGAAAACAGTTTTATAGAAAGTATCCTCTAGAATTAGTTGGAATTATAGCTCCCAAAGAATTTTATCAATCAATAGATACTATTAATTATGTACGTGGAAGAACATTCACCAGAAAAACTCTTGCGGTGTGTCTTTTGTTTACAATTCTTTTCGTGGGATCTATAATAACGATTCTTGGCGGAGTATTAACAGCATTTACATCTCGACCAGTATGGATTACTTTGTTGTCAATCGGAGGTACAATGTTTGCAATTCCCACTCTGTAAAAAAAACCGGGTTATAAGGAACTATCTAAGGTTCTAGCATAGATTCAGAACCTTTTAAGGTTTCATTCGTTTAACAATAAACCATCAAAAGGTTTTCGACAGTTTAAAGAACTATTTAAGAAAACCAAATGGTTTGGTACACCCAAAAGGGTTTTAGTTTGCACTACTTTTCCAAATACGGAATCTTCACAGATAAAAAATGCTTCCAGACNCGAAGAGAAATTATGATCGATCAGTCAAACGATTAAAACATAAATTTCGACTCACCAACATAGTATTACGTAAAACAGATAAATCCAAAGTATTCCATTTAGGAAAGATCGATGATTATAAGAAAAAATCTAACGATTATATGGATAAAACACAAGCATATCGAATACGTCAATGAATGTCCTTTAAAAGACGTCTTTTCAAAAATGTCCTCGGGTTTTTGTCCTTCAGAAAAATGTGTTCCGGAATTTTGTCATTTAAAAGATGTCTTTGAAAGTAACGTCTTCCACAAAATGTCTTTCGAAAAAAGGTCTCGTATATAAAAAAATGTCCTTTACTTTTATGGCAACGCACGAAGCGAAATTGGTGGAAAGATAGATGACGTTATGGTAAGAAAATACCGGTAACGATCTCATTATATAGAGGATCGGACAAGAATGGTATGAAGGATAGAGAAAGAGAAAATTTTTATATCATAATTGAATCCATTGTGATCGTGATCAGATTCCAGAATAGACATAGTTGGTATTTATAAATGGAAACCATCGGCTCGATATTCATTGATGATGCGTCGTCGTCTTCACCATCTTTTTTACGAAGATCTTCTTCATCTTCATCTACTTCGTCTTCATCTACATCACCTAAACCCTCAATTACAAAAAAACAACATCAAATAAACGAAAATTGATGTTATGTATCGAAGGATATCAATATCAATTCAATGATTTCAATAAAAATAAAACTATGAAACTTTGGCGTTGTGCAAAGCGAGATTGCGGCGTACTTTTACATACCTATCTCAATGATGAATTTAAATGTTTTTCTGGAAAGAAGGTTAACCATACGCATTTGCCAAATCCTGCTGCGATAGAAATACGTGACGCGAAAGAGAAAATGCGACAAAGAGCGGAAAAAGAATTAGCACCATTACAAGAAATTGCTGAACAAGAGATTCGAAATGGTTTGTTAAGCGGTGATGCTTTAGCTAATCTACCAAATATCTTCGAAATCGGTAAAGTATAAAAATATCTGCGACGAATATCAACAATATGTTCCTTTTTGTTAGGTTGGGGTTTAGGCCACATTCGTCGAAAACAGATTCCACCAATACCAAATTCAGCATCTTTTATCATACCAGATTCATATACGAAAGATCATCTTGGTGCTAATACTCTATTACTAAACGACAGTGAAAATCCGCAGTTCAAAGTCGATTCATCAGACGGTATACGACCGTCAGGAAGAGTTTTAATGTGGTCGTCAGACATTCAACTTCGTTTGTTATTCAACAGTGAACGGCTACACATGGATAGTACTTTTTCAACTTCACCTCCACATTTTGAACAGGTCTTCATTATACAATCAATACATCATGGAACATGTAAGCTTTATTTGCGATACAAAACTGCATGAAAATAAAAAATTCTTATCCTATTGTATTATTTTCTGTTTACTAAAGGTGTACCAGCCGTCTATGCGTTTCTTCCTGGTCGAAAAGCACAAACATACTTATACCTATTCAATGTTTTATTTAATCAAGCGAAAAAATTTAATCAAGAATTGGATCCTGTCAACATAATGACGGATTTTGAGTCGGGTCTTATAAAAGCAATTTCAATTGGGGTACGCCTATAATCGAAAATAGTACAAATTTTGCTAATACATTACTTTTTATGTAGTTTTCGGAAAGAACCACCCAAAAAGGATGCTTTTTTCATTTTTGTCAATCCATTTATAGACATGTTCAGTGGTTGGGTTTATCATCAAGTTACATTAATCTTATGATTCGAAATGTTATTAAACAAGCAATGGCGTTGGCATTAGTACCTCCATCGTGTGTTCAAGTTTTGTTTAGTGAACTTGGTGAAGAACTAACTGACGACGAACGTGAGGAAATTTCTGGTCTGTTGAAATATATCGATAGACAGTGGATGCGCCAGATATCAACATGGAATGTATATGAGTTACCTGATCGAACAAACAACTATAGTGAAGGTGATTGAAAATAAGTCAGTATTTGTTTACCGATTTTACTGTGGTATTTTTAGGCTATAACAATCGATTCAAAGAACGCTTACATAAGACTCACTCGAATATTTGGATATTTATGGATTCTATTCGACACGAAACAAATACAATTCATGATTTAATTCAGCAAATACACAGTGGAATGCCGCCTCGAACAAAAAGATCTCAAACTAGAACTGCTCAGCAACGTATGACCGAACTGTGTAATCGATTTAATCAAAATGAAATTACAATGAGAGATCTTTTACGTGGTCTTTCTTTTTATGTCGCTAACCAGAAATAAAATTTCAATATATTAGAACAAAGTCAAACATGTGTATTGTCTTGCCATCAGTTTTGCTAATACATATCTATCTTGTTCTCGTTACGTTCAGCTACAAGCTCATAGTTCCTGCATCATCAGTTTCATTCTATATAGGGCAACTTAAGGAAAAAGGAAGCTTAATGTTACAGGCATGGACATACACATGCCTTCACATCCTCCTCTCCATCTGTTTCTGTTATCTTCGATACACATTCTCTTTCGCATCGTTTCGAATAAACGGATTGCGATTCGTCGCTCGAGCGAAGGCAACGCTAATACTTAATCAAATGGAAATCGACGAAATTTTGAGTGATTCTAAATCAGAATTAGAAACAGAGTTTGACGATTTGGATCTGTCTTCGACAGATGATGAAGAAGACGAAGACAGTGACATTTCAGTCCCAAATACTCGAAAAAGACATGCTCCTAGAAAATGGCGTTTATCTGGCTTCGATCCAAAGTGCTTGGTATTTTCCGATAGGATGTCATGGCTTAGGAAAGAATTTGAAATTGGAGGAAAGAAACCATCTGACTATTTTCGAGCATTTTTTGACAACGAACTAATGCAGAAAGTTTTTGAAGAAACCAACAATTATCAACAGCAAAATGTAGCAACAAATGTCGAAAAAACTGCAGCTTGGTACCATACGAATGTGGAATAATCGTATATCTTTTTCGCCACTACAATATTGATGGGATTGAATCAAAAGAATTACATAAAGGATTATTGGTCAACGAATAAACTGATTACAACATCAATTTCGGGGAACTTTTCACAAGGAATAGGTATCTTTCTATTATGCGATATCTCCATTTTGCTGATAATAACACAGAAGAAGAAGGCAAGCTCCGAAAGATCCAACCTATCATGGAGAATTTGAGAAAGGAATTCTAAAAAGCAGTAATTCCATGTGAGAATTTGTGTATCGATGAGAGCTCGATGCTATGGAAAGGACGTCTCAGTTTCAAGCAATACATCCCATCGAAAAGACACCGCTTTGGCGTGAAGCTCTTCATGTTGTGTGATTGTGATACGAAATTCGTTCTGAACTTCATCGTTTACACTGAAACAGAAACAGAACTCGACAATCACCCCGAAGTTGGAATGTCGGGCTCAGTAGTACTAACATTGGTGAAAATTATCTAAAGCAAAACCATACCCTTTTCATCGATAATTGGTTTTCCAGTCCTACATTATTCAAAAGATTATTCGAAAAGAGAACAAAAGTTTGTGAAACAGTGAGGAAAAACAGGAATGGAATGACATCGTTTGAAAAACTCGCAAAAGGGCAACAAGCATATCGGACTATTGGTGAACTATTGGCACTCAAATGGATGGACAAAAGAGAGGTGCACATGCTTACCACACTGCATGAACCTATCATGGTAGAAACTGGGAAGAACGATAGAGAAACAGGTAAAAAAATCAAGAAACCTCTCTGTATTACATAATATAACAAAAACATGAGAGCAGTAGATCAAGTAGACATGCAAAACAGCTTCTCAGAATGCCTACGCAAAACACTAAAATGGTACAAGAAATTGTTTTTTCACTTATTTGATATCACTGTGCAGAATTCATATGCCATGTTCAACATGAAAAACGAGAAAATTTTCCAACTTTCACAGTTTCGTTTCCAGCTTGCTCGAGAACTCATTGAAGAATACGGATCAAAGCGGCCACATATGAGAGGAAGACCGTCAACCGATTCTCTGCTACGTCTCACTGCTCGTCATTTCATTGCTTTTATTCCAGGAGATAATGTTCAAAGACACTGTTTTGTTTGCAGTCATACAGTCAAGCGAGAAAGAAAACGAAGTGATACAAGATTTTATTGCCCGGATTGTGATGCTCCACTATGTAATCCCACCTGTTTCAAAGAATATCATACTTTGAGTGCTTTCTGATCTTCAGTTTTGATAAAGTTGACAAAAATATATCACTTTCGAAAAGTTAAAATAATCTCTATGTTTAATTTTTTTCTTAAAATAAGCTGGTCCTCAAAGGGTTAATATTATAATTGCTCATTTAGTATTATTATTACTCATCGCACATTATTATTGCTAAGTTTCGTTATTGCTCATTTGGGTTATCTTATTACTCATTTAAATATAAGTCCATAAAACTTAAAAAAAACGTATATATCTGATGAAAATATTATGATTCATTGACTCAAAGAAACGAATGTAAATGGGAAAAAGGAAATAGACAATTGCAATGATTCATAATGAAACATGTTTCGTTAGATATTATTTATGTGATTGAAGTGTCACAATTGATTGATTTCGTAAATAGGATTGTACGGGGAAAAACCAAGTTACTTCTACAAACGATAAAAAGAAGTGAAATCAGTTATAAAGATATAAAATAAACTCGCACATTTCACGACCGTACTACACAGTTCACAAGTAAGTCTGATTTCTAATATTAATTCGACTGTAGTATTAAGACTTAAGAGAGTTTCATGAGACTATCGATGACTATGTCAGATATCGAAGCACTCGAGAGTGTGGGTGAGGATATTTTATCTTTTATCATTACGCGCACACCCTCATCGTGTACGTAGAGCATGTACAAATCTGCTTGATATGGCATTGATAAGACTATGAGACAACATGGACTTTATGAAAAGGCTCTCATGAGTTGACACAGACTATATGGGCAAAACAGGACATTGACCTCTCTCGTTTCGCTTTAGTTTTTGACGACAGTATCTTCTCTAACCAAATTCTTTTATCATAAACATATGTAAAAATGTTTGCTCTTTCTCATGCCATTTAATTAAAACTAAGTAATCAATTAGTTAATTGATTAAGCAAGAATTAGCTAATATCTCCCTACTAGGGGTCGGACAGTTCAGTTTAGTTCCAAAGAACTGAACTGTTTAAACAGTTCTTTTGATAGGAACTGAACTGTTTGTTTAGACAGTTCGTTTCAGAAGAANCAAGACTTTAGAAAGTCAGTGGGAGGCCAATGTACCGTTGACTCTATCGAATATCTTGATGCAGATGGTAATTAGGGGTCGGACAGTTCAGTTTAGTTCCAAAGAACTGAACTGGTTAAACAGTTCTTTTGATAGGAACTGAACTGTTTGTTTAGACAGTTCTTTTCAGAAGAACTGATGTCTGGCGATAGTTCTTCCTCAAGAACTGTTCCCATAACAGAACAATATTACTCACTACCCAGAAATGCAATTCCCAAAACAGAACACATGTGTACTGTTATGGGAATTATACTTCCGGGTAGTGAGCAATATTGTTCTGTTATGGGAATTATACTTCCGGGTAGTGAGTAATATTGTTCTGTTATGGGAATTATACTTCCGGGTAGTGAGTAATATTGTTCTGTTATGGGAATTATACTTCCGGGTAGTGAGTAATATTGTTCTGTTATGGGAACAGTTCTTGAAGAAGAACTATCACCAGACATCAGTTCTTCTGAAAAGAACTGTCTAAACAAACAGTTCAGTTCCTATCAAAAGAACTGTTTAAACAGTTCAGTTCTTTGGAACTAAACTGAACTGTCCGACCCCTACTCCCTACCCGTACGACGAAAAAGTTTGAAACTTTCAGGATAAACTCTATGGCCCGGCCTACGTATATGATAGAATTTTCAGCGAAATCGGAAATGTGAAATTTCCGTGGCAAAAACCCCTCCCTCCGGCTCCTGGTAAGGGTCGAATCAGAAATTTTCATTTCATGATAAACTAAAGGTATCGAAGAATGATCCACGCTTATGTGAATCGATTTGGATCTCTCTTCCAGTCGTACCAGCATTTTTTCGCTCGACCACTCGTACTGAGTAACGTCGCTGACAAAATGTCACGTCACTAACGCGGAATACAGTTGGTTTTTCAGAAAATCTATGTGATCTGAGGGAAATACTGCACACGGGCTTCGTAGCACTCTAAGTGGTCTACACAGTATATAATATTGTTTTCGAAAATAATACTTTCGCTCAAAGCTATTTTAACCTAAACTGAAAAAAGTGAAAACCGATGTCTTTTTTTGAGTCACGTCGCTAACGACAGTTTTTCAGCAGTGGTTCCTTACAGGAAGGTTTTCTGGCGCTGATTTTTGTAAGGTTTATAAAACAACTAACTCTGTATATTATGTAAAAAAAAATCAGTCTCCGACCAACTTCTTATATATAGATACACATATTGAAAGTGTACGGTGTCACGTCGCTATTAAAATGATTTTGCCCACATCAGTGTTTTGTAGCTCATTACGAGATCTTAATTCCTAGACGACAGGTTAATCTTTACAATATAAAGCACTATTTCAAATTAAATTTATGAAAATGTAGCGTGATAATTTCTCACTGATCGATTCATATTGCCGATGGTACTGTGAGAATGTGTTGAAGTAAGAACAACATGCCAAGAAAGATTTTTACAGAATTGTAGAGTATGTGAAAGTGGGTTTATTCTATAGCCTCCAGTTAATACGCATCCTCGTCTTCGAGATAGTAGCTCAAAATCAGGTGACAAGTAAGAAATGTTGATTGATGTTTTATTTGGTTTCATGAAAATGAAAAATATATTTCCCAGCTGTAAATACTGAATAATATTGAAGATAAACGATTATATTGTCTGCAATGTATGTTTGTAGATCATTATAGGTTTCTTTTTGGTAAATTTTGGCGTACTGAAAAACACACCTTAATTTATTGATCGGAAGAAAATAAAGTAAAAAGTATTGCGAAATGTACTCGAGACATCATTATCATGGCAGAGATTTTCTTGGTACAAGATTACGAAGGTATAATGAAACTCATCGTTCAACAGGCGTTGGATCCCGACAGTTTTCATCTATGCGACTTTATCGAATAGTTGGTCATCCATTTTCTATTGATAAAAAATTTACCATATATGAAAACGGTAACGAACAGTATCTGGTCCGTGGCGGTAGACTATTTGGTGGCATTAATAACCTAATACTAGAAGATCGCCTTGGTACTCCCTTGATTAGCATTCAAAAGGAATCCGGACACTTCTTGCACCCAACATATCAGTTATTGTCGAATGATGGCCGTGAAATAGCAAGAATAAGACAATCTCCTGGAGGGCTTAATTTTGAAATTGACACTGTTTATGGACCTCATGACATTACGATATTGTCGCGAGAACCAAAATATTTTTCCATATGGAATGCCCACCACCAAAACATTGGCAGCTGGAAAGGGACTGGAGCAGAATTAGCAGCAAATCAAGATCAACCATTTATGTTAGCATTGCTTGTTGTAATTCATCATCTTATACCGTCTCCTCCAAGTAACATTCATTAAGTACGTTAAAAAAGTATGTGAATGTTATGTATTCAAGAAAAAAAAATAACGAAACAGACGTTTCTTGTAATCAAGAAATTGTAAAGCTAATGTTAATTTCCTGAATAAAAAGACGTTTCCATCTACTGAATTTTTAATCTCACATGTCCTTCGTTATATCACGCTCCATATGACCGCTAATGAGATTTCACACAGACGAAACTCGTTGTTATAAGTTGTTAATGAAATTTTGACTAATGCGGATGAGAGTGTAAGACTGTAGTTCAAACGAACACTTACAACCACACCCTCAGGTATACGAAACTATATTAAGTGTGTTGGTGGGCGTTATCGCCAACTGGAACCGTCTCTGGCATCTATTATCAGGGTGTCCGGAAAGTCCGTAGAACTGTATCCTAATTACATATATGAAACGTTTAGTTCATGTTATTGGGCCAAAGGTGAATTTTCAACATTGCATAGATTTTTTTTCTCGACTGCTTGTATCATTTTGTGGAAAGAATTAGTTTTCACAACTGTGTCTATCAAAAAGAATTGGTTGAGTGGTCGAAAACAGAAAACGAAACAAATGTTACCAAGCTTCAATAAAATGCACTTCTAGATTTTGAAAAAATCATTGATAATTTCATTTCAAGATTATATGAGTACCACTCGATGTCCTTATAGGATGAATAACGGAACCAAAAAGTGGCACGTATCGCTACCGAAAGAGAAATATGTGCAAAACGAGAGAACAAATATTCGCGAAAATATCTAATCTTTCGTTCTGAACATTTTTTTCTTTTTTTTCGTATGAATATGTGGAATCTCTTACTTTTGTTATTCATTTCTCCGATTAAAACGAGTTATGCTTATTGACTCTTTCCATGACATTATAGGTGATTTTAAATGAAATATCGAAACGTGTTCCTTTGCTATTTCGTACTATTCATTTCGTATTTATTCATGTTTCAGACATGTCAAACATCGAATATCGAACGATCATAAAATTTTTCACTCTAAAAGGGCTAAATGCTACCAAAAACGCCGAAGAACGAAAAGAGGTCTATGACCAAACGACGCCA